GAGTGAAACATTTTAGTTTGGAAACAAAGTAGGCTACTTTCCAAATATAATTCCTGTTTATTATTATTATCAACAGTCACAGTTTTTTATACAGTGAGGTAAATGGTAAATGTGCATGTATGTCGTTCGGTATGCGTTTACAGGTGAATACGTCTGCATTTTCTCGATGCAAAGTCATCGACAAGGTCATCGTATGATAGCTGCTGTGCCAACAGTGTGTGTTGATGGTTATGGTAGCCAGGCCACTTAAGCGTTCTTGTGCCATTGACGACCGGAGGTAAGTCTTCATAAGCTTCAGTTTGGAAAAGCTTCTCTCAGCAGACGCAACTGTAACAGGAAGAGTTACTGCAATGTGGAGGGCAATCCAGAGATTTGGGTACAGTTCCTGTAACTCACGTTTGTGGAGAAATGACAACATCTCCAGAGCAGTTTTTTGTTGTGGCATCTTTGGGAGGTTCTGGACCAATGCAGACAAGAAATCCATCATTCAAGCAGACTTAAGATATGTTTTGATCTTAATAGTGCACTACAGAATGAATATAGTGAAAATACTAGCCTCAAAAAGATAAAAATATAATTAATGCAAATAAACTACTTCTACTAATAATAATAATCATGCGTGCGTGGAGAACTGCACTGAAAACTGCGCGGAGAACTGTGCAGAGAACTGCGCACAAGCCAAGCTCCTAAACCGAGGCCCCCTGCGCGAGGCCCCCTGCGCAATGTGAGGCCCCATGCAGCCTGCATGATCGGCCTGTAGGGAGGGACGGCCCTGGCCCTACACGACTTGTTTACAGACACATTATGCCATTATGCTGATTACAGACATGCCAATCTTCTTCTTAACCATCCATAATTGCAGGATAATGATTTCCTTTGTGCTGCAGTGGGAGCCGAGGAGGCGGGGAGCGTCTTCCTCGGGGCCAAACAGGAAGTGCCACACATGCAGGCTTCAGATTTTAAGTGATGGGGTTGAGGTACTTTGGATCAGAAAGTTAGGGGGCAGGGAATTCAACCCAGAGGAGTATAAAGAGGACAAAGCAGTGGAAAATACAACACTTATTTTGTGAATATAATAGTGTTTTTGAGAAATTGATTTATTTGTAGTCTATGTTGTTCTCAAAGTTTGCCATCATTATTGTATTCAATGTATTGCTTGTATATTGATCTTTGATTTTTTACTTTTTTTTTAATGGCGGAAGCTCCAAATTAGCCATCCAATAATTTTTCCTGCAATGTTTATCATTTGTTTATCTTTTATGTTAGTGTATTTTTTAATTGCGCAAAACATAATCGATGTCATAGTGCCATCTAGTGGATGAAACCTGAATTACAAAATGCATTCTCATTTTATGTAAGTGCATAATTATCATTTAAAAGCTATTTACACTACTTTCACTTTGAGGGAACACATTTACGTTTTTAAACTCTTAAAGAAGAAGAATTGGCAGAGTTCCCTTTAAAACAGCTCCACTGTTAAAATAAAATAACTCAGTGCAAATCAGTTCACCTTGCAACAACAAACAGACACAAGACATGCACTTCACAAGTCAATGTGATACTTTTATTCATGAACCTAGGACCATATATATATATATATATATATATATATATATTTATATAACACTGTATAAATACTCTATATATTCTACTCCCTTCTGTGATCTCAACAACAAATACAAAATAATATTAAAAAAGCCACATGATTATATTTAACAGGCTGTACAAAAATAAATAATGTTTGGATATTCTGTACAAAAGGAAAAGACTCGGTAGAAAAAAGAAACCGGGTGCCTTCGCAGAAGGCAGGAGAGACTTACTTATGAAGTAGTAGCAGGAGACAAGTCCCTCTTTAGGTCTCCACACACACACACACACACACACACACACACACACACACACACACACACACACACACACACACACACACACACACACACTCCTCTTTGGTCTTTGAAGAGTTCCCTCATTGAAGGGTTAGATATGGCTAAAGCACAGAGTACAGAGTACTGAGGCCTTTAGAGACGACGGGGTGTTACAATGTGCCGCTGGCAAAACAAAGATGAAGTGCTACAGGTTTGTGATAAATAAACTAAACACTGACTATTTTTTTCCATACCGGATGGGATGTATAGTAGAATGAGCTATTTCTCT